AAAAAAAATGAAAATGTTCTTAGAGCATATCCAGCGGTATGTTAAAATATTCTTTTGTATAAAATATACACTGCAACCTATGATGTGTAAATTTTTTCCATGTCCAGCAGTTTGTTAACCTACATTTCCACATCACCAATGTGTAAAAGGATTGTGTAAAATACACAACCTTTTTACACGGTCAAATCAACATATTTCTTTTTTCATTCCTCTTTCTCATTGCATTAAAGAATCAACCATTTATTAAGTAAGTTTATAAAAATTATGGGCCCTGGCATGACACATGATTGATTATTATTGGGAGATATATTTTTACACAAAAGGTATAAAATAACTGTTAGAGCTAAAATTAAATAATTCAAAATTTTTGTGTAAATTCATAATAACACATCAGATTTACACAAAAAAATATACACAACGGTTGGAGATGCTCTTAGGTTTCTCTCTGTTTTTCTTTACTAATTATTTTTTATTAGGTTTCTCTATGTATCTCTTTCAAATTTAACCTTAATTAGAAACACACCAAATTAGGACTTCAAAAGAGGTCATTCATTCATGGTAAAAAATTGTAGCTTCTAGTTTTAATTATTTGACGATTTAAAAGAAGTGAGTTCTTATTTACAAGAAATAGGTCACTAGCTCATTCATAGTAAAAAATTATAATTTCTAATTTTAATTATTTAAAAACTTAATCTGTCCCCCAAACCAACAATTGAAGTTATTAAATTATCAGAGGGTTTGAATTCCATAATCATAATTTTTGCTATTTTGCTCTCTTTCCTATATTAAAAATTACTTTTAAAACACTCAAAGCAGTCAAATAAATTGACAAATAAGCAACCACATAAAATAACATCTCGACTTAAATTTTGATATGTGATCTTGAATCTGATGTGGCGATAGCTAAAAAGACATTAATGTCCTCTAATTTAATACATATTACGATATAGTCTTTTATGCAATTGTGTTTCCTATTTTAGCAAAATGATAAATGAATTGTCCATTGAAGTAAAAGGAAAGAACAAATAATTATAAAAGGAAAGAACAAATAATTACACTAGGTTTTCTCTCTTTATCGTTAATTTGTTTTCCTCTGCCAATCTTTTTCAATATATATATATATATATAAAAACAAGAACCTTAATTTACATAATTCACTTACAAGTTTTTTATAATTGTATTTTGATTTGATATATTTTTTTAATTACTATTAAATTTTAAAGACATGCTCAACAAAGATATTGAGTGGTTGAAAATTAAGGTTCTTGTTTAGCAGAAAGAGATCACTAATGAAAATTTGCAACTTCTAGTTTTAATTAATTATTTAAAGATTTAATAAAAAGAGTCTTTCAAATGAAGATATATACAGGTAATATTGAATTCAAGTTATTAAGTTATATTATAGCTTCTGTTAAAAAACTTTTTTGTCTAAAATATACACTGTGTAAAAGGGTGGTATAATTTACACCGCCCTTTTACACAGCCACGTAAGTATACTTTCTCTCTCATCCCCCTTCCCCACCCGCGGTTCTCTTTATGCCTTTTTGTTTCTCACTTTTAGAGCGCCACAGAGAAAAATCTGCAATGAGCGACAAGATAAGAACTGTTCAACTATCTTTTATTTATTATTATTTTTTTTAATAAAAATAGTTTGATTTATCAATTTCGTTTTATTATTATTATTTTTAATAAAAATAGTTTAATTCATCACTTTCGTTTTATCTTATCTTATCGCAGTAGATTCTAGGGTTTTTTTAGATTTTTTATCCTTGTGCATTGAGATAATTAAATATGTATTAGCCAAAAAATTTATATATATATATATATATATTTTGATAAGTAAAATTAGATATATATTTTAATCACGATTTTATATAATTGTTGTTTGATACAATTATAAAAATTAAATTTTTTCTTCTTTTTTGGTGATTAGTCAATTCAATCGCAATTGTTATTGCATATTTTTGGTTTCTGTAGTTTCTAGATACTTGAATCTTATTTTATTATTTGTTATTAAGTTAGAATTCTGGTGAGGTAAGACACGTGGTTGGTTGTTATTGGGGGATATTTTTTTACACAAAAGATATAAAATAACCGTTGGAGCTAAAAATAAATATACAAAATTTTTGTATAAATCTACTCTGACACATCAGATTTACACAAAAATATATATTGGATATGCTCTTAGGGTTTGGATTCCATAATCATAGGTTTTGCTATTTTTTCTCTCCTTTCTATATTAAAACCTTTCCTATATTAAAAAATTAATTTTAAAATACACAAAACAGCCAAATAAGCTGACAAATAAATAGTCACCTATTCAAGATAAAATCACAAATTCAAAATGGTGAAGTATAGAATTGTCCTTTTTATTGATTATTTATATGGAAATTTAAATTTTAGCTTTAAGGTCACCTAGATTAATTTCCAAATTAATTTTGAATAATCAATCAAGCTAAGCCGTAACCATAAATACCACATAAATACCACTGGCCTCTTTCTTTATGCACTCAATAGAAAACTTGAAGTCTTATCTCTCTCTCCTAGGAAAAAAATCAAACAAACCATCTACAATGGATGACCGTGACGGTGCTCCCAATCAGGTACCTTTTATGTTCTCTCACTGTATTATTCATTGTGTATATATATATGTGTGTATATGGGTAACTATTATAAATATATTTATCTTGGGTTGTATTTTGTAGACTTGTATTCTGAAAGTGAATGTCAGTTGTTGTACGGGATGCATGGTGAAAGTGAAGAAAGCATTGTTGAATACTAAAGGTGTACCATCATCTTGTGGCTTAGTTTGCTATTTTAACCGTTACCCAATTTTGAATTGGGCTACCGATTTATTTATTATTGACCTTTCATTTATTTTATTTATTTAGTAGAGAATTTTGATGTATTTATTTATGCACATTATATATTTGATTTCCCTTGTAGGTGTTTATTCAATTGATTCAAATGCACCAAACGGAATAGTAACAGTTACAGGCAAAGCAGAACCCATGACACTGGTGAATGTTTTGGCGAAAATTGGGAAAAGGGCAGAGCTTTTGTCCTATGAAGATCCTCCCATGAATGACAAAAACCACGAAGAGGAGGACCACTACAAGAACCACTACAACTTCTTCAAGAAGAAGAAGCATCCTGGCCATGGCCATGGGCATGACAAGTCTTGTGGACGTGACAAGAAACGTGTTCCTCGTAAGGAAAAAGTCAAAGATTGCCGTTGTGATGAGAATAATTTAAACAATGATCAGAGTGAGAAGCATGAGTATAAGCAGCACAGGCATGAGCATAAGCATAAGCATAAGCATGAGCATAGCGGAAGCAGAAAAGATTTTGACACCGGAAAAGATTTTAACAGCAGAAAAGATAAAGATTTTGACAGCAGAAAAGATTTTGACACAGGAAAAGATTTTGACAGCAGAAAAGATAAAGATTTTGACAGCAGAAAAGATTTTGGTGATCATGTGTGTAGCGATGACTACTGTAACATCCACAATAGGAGATTTTTCGTAGGCAACGATTGTATGCCTCAACAACACGGCCCCCAAAACTACTATTGGGATGATCCTTTGTTTCGACAGTCGCCTTATGGGGATGGTTTGATGATGGATCATAGGCAATACGGCGGATATGGTTACCAAGGTGTCAGACCGACTATGTATGACAGGCCACTGCCTCCATATGACTCCTATCATCAGAGAATGGCACCACCTTCGTTTGGATATCCAGGGCCTGTGTAAGCTAGCGGTTGATGATGGCTCTTGGAGCTGCTGGATTTGTTCATGTCTTCACTTTGGGATTTATCCATCTTTCTAAATATGTTTATGTAACTTTATATGCATATATATCTTTTATTATGGGAATTTCCTAATCTTTTTCAACTTCTTTTTTATTCACTGTGGATCAAGAAGAAATTTAAGACATTGTTAAAAGTTTGTTAGAGTTTATACTAGTTTCTTTATGAAATGTTTGTTTATCTTTTTGTTCAAGTTTTTAATGCACATTTAATTTTAGTTTGATGGAATCCGAAATGCTAACAAGCTGTTCCATAAGTTGTTATCTATATTATTAGCAGAGAGGTTTTTAGTGTTGTGAGGGGAATTGACTATTGTAGATTTGTGGATTTGTGTGTAGTTAATAAAAATAGTATAGGATAAGTAAGGTGGAATTGACTATTGTAGATTTGTGTGTAGTTAATAAAAATAGTTAATAAATTATCGAATTTTTAAGACAACTTTTTAATGTTTGAAAAATGAAAATAAAATTTGAATTAAAAATTTGCTGTCAAATAATGAATAAAAAATCTCAAGTTAGAAGAATTCACCACCATGAATCATAAATAAGTAAATTTTCGATAAATAAAAGAGATCTAATTAAATTTCAGCAATGATGATAAAAGAGATCTAATTAAATTTCGGCAATGATGGCTTCATCACTACCTTGAGATGGATGATTTAAGCTAACATACTTAAAAAATAAATAAAACACAAAAATAGAACAACTCTTCATTGATGACAAAAAATATTACAAGAATAAATAAATAAATAAATAAATGCAAAAAAATAAAAATCTGTAACTTCCATATTATTTTCTCTTACTATTTTGTAACCCTTCTCCCCTTCTGAAAATACCTATATATAGACTATGCTTTTCAATTTGACTTGATATTTGTTGGTGGAACCTCTCAAAATTTTAGGCCAAAATTGAAAGCATCAAAATAATATTTTTGTTTACTTCAGCATTGTAAAACATTTTTTATCAAATATGCTTTTATATTTTTATTTTTAAAAATCTTGTAATAAATTTACGTTACCAAATAAGCTCGTAATTGCCAACCAGCCCCGGAGTATCATGATATCACACCATTACTTTGATTTTGAGTCATAACGGGTCTAAAATGAGAATATGCAAAATACAGGGTCATCAATGCTAATATATGTATATCGACGTATAATTTGCACTCCCATGTAAATTTGTAATCATCCCCTTGGAGTAGTACCCTCTCTCACTGTAATCTGTAGAAAATGGAGGCAAAGGTGCTCCGGCTAACGTGCGCTCCTCTTCCACCGCCACCACCCACCTGGACCCTTTCAAGAATTCCAGCAGCTCTAAGTTCCCGACCTTTCAAGGCTAACCCTCCACCCGGCGCGGGTTAGTCCTCCTCGCCCACATTTCACTATTAAAGGTTTCAAATTTTCTCAAAAGATTAAGGAATTTCTCTCTCTCTGTCCTTTTCTTTAGGGTTTCGATCACCAGTTCTGCCTAAGACCAAGAAGATAGAAGAACAAGACCTACATGGGCTTCCAAAAGAGTACTACGACGATGTATATAGTTCTAAATATATATACGCTCACTATATGTTTTTGCTTATTGGGTTTCACTTGAGTTCTTTATTACTGTATTTTGTTGTCAATTATGGGTATTCATTCCTTTATGGGTTTTTGGTTTCAAAGGGTTTCTAAATTTGGTTATAGGTTGAATATCATGCTGTGATTTCTCATCCTAATAGAAGATATCAGTTGTTTATTGAAAATGTAACCTAACTGAAAATGTATTTTGTTGGCAATTGAAAGCAATTCTTTTTGTTATATTGATTCTGATATAATATTTTTGTAATCTATCTGTTGAGAGCTGGGACTAACATTGTTTAGGTTAGGAATGGCAATCCAGACAACGGGAAAAGACAAAGGAATTGCATCGAAAGCGTCAAGAGGAAGAGGAGGAGGAGGAAAAGATGGTAGAAGCATATCGTGAAATTGGCTTGCGGTTGAAGGATTATCCTGAAGAAGAAGTTCGAAAAGCCAGGAAATTGATTTCGAGCTTTATCAAATCTGCCGAAGAAATTGAAGAGGTGATCATTAGTTATAGCATCAAAATATTATTCTTGTATGTCTGGCTTCAATTATTCCAATTAAACTCTATGAACCTAAAATTTCATAAGAACAAGATTCACAACTTCATCTGGTATGCTACATGATATAATAATTCCCTCTATATGCCTATAAGAGAAAAAGACACAAGTCTTTGCTACATGTCTCTCAACTGAAGTTAACAAATTATATATGGGCATTTTATACCAAATATATTAGGTTAAGCAGCTAACCCAAGGTCTTTCCATCAGAATAATTTCACCATGGGTTTACTTGCCTGTGGGAGCTTTATCTAGTTTAACAAAGGTTAAAGGAATTGTCTATCTCATAAAGGTAAAGGTGAAATAGAAGAGTATTTATAAAAATATAATAAATACAAAAAGAACAAAAATAAAAGAAAAAATAAAGGTGAAAGCAATTCAGGGGGAAAAAAAAGGTGAAAGCAAAGAGCAATGATCTGTCAGCTTAATCAATGGAAAAAAATTATATACCAAAATCTAATACTAACTTTAGTAAGAGCTTTGTTCAGAAAACAAATCTTTTTTCATCAAGATTTTATTTTTGGGAGCTAAAGGCAACATATTTATGTTTTTCTCTTTAAAGCCACATCGTTTTTTTAATTTATAAATCTGAAAGTTATTAAGAATTCTTCTGAATATTAAGAGTAATACTGTCAAGAGTTCTCTCATGACAAGAGTCATGAGTTCTCCTTATTGACTGACAGATTAAATTGGAAAAGTTTTCTAGTTCTGTGAATAAAAAGACAAAGTCAAAGCAATCTTATAATAAGTTTCTCGATAAAACAGCTAATAAAGAGAGCACACTGATCTTGCCATGAGGGAGACCTCTTGGTAGCATTTTCTGAAAATAAAAGCTCCCAACTCAAAATGCTATCTTCATTTTAGTTCAAGAGCTTATTTCAAGTCTAAAATTGATGTTTATTGATGACTGTTTTACATGCATGCAGAAAATTGAGGAAGCTGCTGTAAAAGGTGAACTCACTGAACTTGTTCTGATGGTCATATGGAATCGCCTTGATCTTGCTCGACGTGATGTACGTTACTATTCTAGCTATTTTACTAATCTTTTTACTATTTTTCTTATTTTTGTAGCAATGCAATTGTTGTGTAATGTGTTTATAATGTGGCTAACTTGTGTAATATTTGCAACGGAGAATTTCTATAATAACCACCATGTCGAGAATTTTGTCTCCTAAAATATGTTTTCTTCCCGGCACACAGTGAATTAAACTATATATTTTCAGCATCAGATATGGAAATTTTGTATTTCTGAATGTGCTGGTCTTAATTTACCAGAGTTCTCTCTCTTTTTTCTTTTTTTCTTTCTTTTTTATTTATTTAAAATTACAATGTCAGTGATAGTGGAATGGAGGATCATGATTGTGATTGTTGTGTTGATTATTCATAGCACCAAGCTTTTTGGTTCTGAAGAAAGAAAAAAAAAATTTAATATTAAGTTTCTTTGTTGTGGTGGTTGTCTTTGATATGTAAGTTTGTATCTAAACTCAACCTTTCAACGAGATAGTGCTTTTTCAACTCTCTCAAAATGGAATTTATTCCAAACATATATGCCATGGTTCCTTACTTCGACAGGGTACGAATATCTAAATTTGATATTTTAGATACTTTTTCAGACTTATTGCCGATTAAGTAGCAGTCAAAATTTTGTATCCATCTTTCATGATATTATGCATGGATCAGATATGTCATGGCGAATTCTTCAGAAAAAAATTGTGTCTTCCACAATGGAATCGGATAAGTGGATAATAATCCAAAACAAAGTAAAGCGTGAAAGACTCTGCCTTTCTTTACTTCTGTATTTTTGCAGTTTTCTGGAACATGGTTCGCCTTTGCGAATTTGTGCCCTTTTCGTTGGTGTTATGTCTAACATCAACAATAATGGCTAAACATGGATCACAAGAGTAGAAGTTTTTGGAACCATTTCCAGGACCTATTTTTCCTGGAAATGATAATCAGGGTCTCTCTCTCCCTGATTACAGTTTCATTATTTTTTCCAGGATGAGAAGGATGCAGTTAGAAGTCTTGATCTCCTATATAGGCGGGTTGAGGTATATAGTATAACTCTATCTTATTGTGCAACATCATTAGTTTAGCCTTCTCTCTTCCTAGCCTTTCTTCTGAATTTAAGTTGTGCTGCTTCTTTGCCATCTAAGATTTACCTAATGTTTTAGACTGAGATTTTGAAACGGGAGGCTACTCCTGCCATGAGACTGCTCAACGATCTTTTGAATATGCATGATGGATTTGATGATGAACAATGGCTGAAGGACTGCAAAAAGCGTATGGTTGATACCTTTCCACGAGAGGACCCATTCAGTATTCTTGTTCCAGCAGGATTTGACATTGACAAGGTATCTCATGATTATGCGATCATACGGCCTTTGGTGTAACCTTTTAATTGAATAATGTCATGGAGATCATGAATGTTCTTCTTCACATAGTTCAGATACACTTACAGTGTCCTGTCAATGAGTTTTATGTTAATTTTTCTAATTTTGCTCCATGTCTAGTTTAAGGCTTCACTGTCCGCTAATATTATCTTATTTTCACTATTTGGAAGAGTGATCTTTGTGGCATCTTTGGTTGAAATGGGAATATTTCTTAAGTATTGGCAGTTTTCAAAAACATACTGTTGGGTAATTGTGAGGTCTTTAGTTCCCTCAAAAATATCCATGCTTTCTGGGAATTGCAGAAAGAAGTAATATTTTTGTAATTATTTGTGACTAAATAACGTTATAGGAAATAATGATCCTATTTGGAAAACAAACACCTGTGTTGGTAAAAGTAGAATTTTGCTGGATTTAAATGAGTTGTTTAAATTTGAAGTTTACGGTATATGTTAGCCATATACCTAATTTTCTGTGTCATGCTGAATAGTTGCCAATTATGTATTCAAGTGCAACGAGTATCAAATTTTTTATTTTTTTTGCCTTGTCAGCATCAAGGTCCACTTAGACCATCACTAGAAGCTGATGATGTCCTCCTGAGAGTAGATTTTGTCCGGGAGGTTGACGCGTTGCTCCAAGAGGTTCGTTCTGAACAAAATGAAGCACAAAATGCACAAGGGCTCGATCCTGAATCCGTTGCAAGTAGGTTGAAGCAACAGGAGAAGCAGCGGGCAATGCGCCAAGTGGAAGCGCTGTTGGATCTGGCCATTAATTTAAAATGGTAGTCATGTGTTTTTTACTTCTGTTTCTCCTCAAAATCCTTGTAAAATGCAGTGCCCTGCCCATTTTTGTTAGGTTCTGAAGAGTAAAATGGAACTCGTTTTTGTTGTAGTCATCCATCCATCTGATAATGATATATCAAATTTATTGTTAGGCTCCTCCTTTAACAGTGTATCTGTGAGCAAAACATGTATCTGTTTTGTTTTTCCCTTTATATTTGGAGAAGGAATAGGAATTCAGATACAGTAAAACATATCCATTTTTCTTCCTCCCCTGTTTTTTAACCCTCTATTTAATAATCCATGTCACTACTGAAGGTGGAGCCTTTTGTCAGGGGTGTGAATAACAAATGACCTGACAAGCGAACAAGCAGTGCATTATATATTTAATTCTTCTAGGCAATCCAAAGCAGCTTCTGAGTTTGTTCTCTGAAACAAAATTTGGAAATGAATTAACACCTGGCTATATAAGAAAAGTGAGACATTTGGCTAGTTCATTGTACATGGAGTATAATAAAACATATGGGCAAACCATTGCAAGGATTGCCAAGACTATGTTTGGAAGCACCAAATCATCCAATTTTAGGCAAATTCGGTAATCCAAACAGAACATTGTATTGAAATTTTTCTGTGATCATGTTGGAAAAAAATAAATGTTTTAGTAACATAAAATATCTTGTTAAATTAGTAAAATTTTAATTTATTAATAATTATAAATTAATCCCAGTTAATTAATAGAATTTATATGGTCCCAAGGCTATTAATTTATAGAGGTTTTATAGTATGTATAAAACTGAATTCAACGGTAACAAGTAGCACGATTGAAGAGAAAATTTGTTGGCAACAAATCTGTGTGTGAGTCTGTTGGTCACAACTTTCTTGTACACGTAAAGCCTACACAATTTAGTTGAGAAGTCCGCAACTTTCTGGTACCGATGAACGATATACAATGAACGATGTAAATGCTTAATTGAGCCAGTAGTTCTCATTATACACATCTATAACTTTACTTTGTGCCTATGAACAATGAACTGTGTCACGCATTTTCTCCCTAATATTGACATTTCAATAGCAAAATCCTAATGCAAGTACAAAAACACAAAATAAAGACAAAAGCAACAAGAACGAGTCTTTGTAAAATTGATGCCTTGATATCTCACACACCATTTTCAGAACCGGCTTCAGAACCATTTTTGCTACTTCTCCGGGAACTCCTCTTGGTTGGAACAAGTAGGCTCTCCTCTTCCTCATCAATTGCCTGCGGTTTCTCAAACTCGCCGCCTTTAAAAACTGGGTGCACGTATGCATTCTGCAGATAGGCTTTCAAGTTTAGGTTTGGTTCTGTAGCTCGTTCTAATGTATCCTTCACCATTGCATCCTGCGATCAGATATATCAAATAAAGATCTTTATCGCACATGAATGAAAGACACCATACTGAGAATTAGATTTTACTCAATGAGACGTCAGAAGCATATAGTTTTTATCATGTCCCCAGCATCCCACCAAATCAAATAGCAGTGTAAATGGCATCAACAACAAGTACCTTAAAAGATGACAGTTAATACTTTGATCAATATTTCCTTTTCTTTTTTGCCGAATTTCTCAATAATACTAGTATCAGCTATAAGATGGTCTGCAAAGCAGACACAAAGTTTGACGACAACCATATGGCTATGTATGAAAAGGGGTGTCATTCAGTTAATTGTGAATTTGCTAGGATGTGAGTCAAGACACGGTTGCTAGGCTTGAGCCATAGGATGTGGGGTAAGACAGAGAGAGAAACTGTAATATCTTGAGATGCTTTCATAAATTCATAATACAGCAAATCAAGGTATCCCGTGGCAGTTTTCTAATGACAAAATTCCACTTGCAGGAAGTACTGCAAAAGAAAAAGTCATGCAAAAGGTGGTATGTTCTTTTTTCCGTCATCAGGAAGTAGAATCATTCATCCACCTGTACGAAAGTGTATCTAAGCAGAAATATCTAAAAAAATTATATCCTTATTTTCTAAAAGCATATATCAACTAGGCAAAAATAAAAAATAAAATTAATAATTTTCTAAAAACATAGCTCCTCAAAAACAAGATCTTAGTGAAGGAAACATGCAAACTTTTACAGCTTTACCATTAAAGAGTAGAATAATTAACAAATTGATCGAGAGGTGTCCCTAAGAAAAGAAAGTTGGGTTTCCTTCTTTGCAACTTGAAGTTCTCAGTATTAAAGGAGAGCGTGCATTGGAAACAGAAAATTTGTAGGTAGAGGCCTTGTCCAAATCACACTGGGTCATTGTGCTGATCAGCCAGGCCACATGCCTTGTATAGCACAAATGTAAGTCGAGAAATGTTTTGGTTTACAGAGGAGCAAGATAGAATTGGAATTTAGAACAACAAATTTCCAGCAGCAGATGGGGCATAGGTCCAATATGATTCTAACCAATAATAAGTAGGTGAAGTATGATGACCCATTTCTACCTTTCTGAACATCTCAGCTAGAGCACAGGATTGTGCTAAAATTAAGGTGAAGTCTGGAGTGTTATTTTGAGACGAGGACAACAATCATGCTGCAAGGTTGTCAAGGAAGACAAGTGCCCCAGATGAGTTTTGTATTGAAGCATTTTGAGTAAATGTCTTCCATTTGCTAACTAAACTAGAGTTTGCCCCTTTAAAAGTAAGAATGTAAAATAGGTAATAGACTGATCTAGGGGTAGCGAAAATAGATGCTGAAGTGGCTACAAATGACCCATCTCTGACTCCTCAGACAATCATGTTTCCTCTCTTTCATTGTACCAAACAGTTGATATCAGAGCCCTTTATACTACAACTCCTGTAGTTTTATTCCCTTTTTTTTGGGGTCAAATACCTCAACATTAGTTGTTTCTTTTCTTACAGAAAAACACCAGATACAACACGTTGATATATCTTGTTGCATAGATTTTCTCCTCCTAGTAATCACAGATCAGTATTGATACACATATATCATATGTTCATAAGTAAAAGGCATACTGGACACACTTTTTCTTTTTTTTTTAATAGAGTATTCCATACGAACCTGTAATGGGAATTTAATGAATGCTGATTCAAAGCGTCCTTTGCAAAATCGATGGAACCAAATTGTCAAGATTGGAAGTGCAACTAGGAAAGGTGTCGACTGTACAGCATCTTTCGTGCTCATCAATCCCATCAGTAGAAATTGCGATATTATCAAACCAATTATTATACGAAGATGCACGTCTGGCCAAAATGCTGCCCCACTCTCATACTTCCGGTCATATACATTGATGATCTTGCAACAGAAAGCAATTTAACAATTCAAAATAATTGTTATATTATGAGTACAATGATGACTACCAACAAATACATAACATGCTCATAGAATCTCTGTACAAGGTTAGATTTTAAAAACTTCACTTAAAATGTTCAGTGTAAAGAGTGCAAGGTTCTCATCTGCATTTTTATAATAAATAATATTCTGCCTACTTGATCAAATTCATTAACCAGTAGTTCCTACAAGATGGACTGTTAGGAACCAAAAACAAAATCTAACACCAATGACCATGTGAAAACTTCACAAGCAGATAAAACTCGTGAAACCAAGATAAAATAGAGTGCAAATGAATTCCTACAAAATTTTATATTTCACTTCTTATTGTACTCCACTCTACCTATTGTATCACTTCAGTTATAAAATGTAACGTGTGTTTCAACATATGTAGAAGCTCTCTGTAATCCAATTACCACAGTACATATTTTGAAAATTTGAATAACTAACTACATGGTTGACATGGGCTCCATTCAACTTGACAAATCACTATATTTCTGTATAACTCTCTTTGGGTGATAATTTCTTGTGATCATTCAAAACCATAAATATGTTTTGCAGACTTTAAATAGCTTTTGTATCTCTTTTATTATCTATGACACTGTTTCAGATATGTTGTCTGTGAAATAATCAAGTCAATGCCATCCCGCATTCATAATTAGACCAATCAATTTCTTTTACAGAGGCCACCTGGAGTGAAAATCAACTTCCTAGAGAGTTGTAAAACACCCACATATAAGCACCTATCCTCCCATTTTTTTGGCTTTATGCAATGAAATCAATCAAAAACGACAATTTGCATTTTATTATCAAATGGTAAATAAGTATTTAGTATCTTAGAGCTCCTTGGTTGGACAGTTAAATTGATATAATCTAAAAATATAACAAGAGAACACTGTTTACTTGTCAATATAGACCATCTGGAACTTGTATAATTCCTTGATATATTTTGGCTTTTATTCTATTGTTTGTCTGTCATTCCTTTTAGATTAATATTTTACATAACTATTTTTTTTTTCATCATCTAGTGTAACATTTACACGGTAGAATTTGATTCTTTGTGATTTTTTCTTAATAATTTTAAACAAAGAACCAATCACAAGCATCCATTCAACCAGCGACATAAAATGATTTAGAAATAAAACTGCGACTAACAAATAGTTTTGTGTATTTAAGGTCAATTTGTGCTTCCACTGGTTGATAAACAAAATTATTTTCATGAGCTTCACTGTTCTCCCTTTTCCACAAAATTAATATATCTATATATAATGGTGCCAACAAATTAAAGGATGATAACCAATTCCAAAGGCAAAGAATATATCTATATATACCTGATGGCGAAAAACCAGATAGGCAAAGGCAAAGAAGACAATAATGAAAGGAAGAAGTATGGGCGTGACCACTGAATATACAAGTCCCAGCAAGAAATACAACTGTATGCGAGGTTCATATGTGGCAAAGTTTAAGGAACCAGGATCCATTGCCTCCTCCCTGTCTCGTTCTGTCTTGACGAGGAATGTATTCTTTAGGTGAAACAGAATTAGTGGAACCAACCTCAGGACCTCTGCAGCAACGCCAGACCAGCCATCAACCATAATGTAAGTGATAAAGAAAGTAGCTTTCATTGGGATTGAAACGCCAATAGTTTTTGGAATCCTGCAAGCCGAGCCAACAAAATCTTGAACTGTATTATTAAATAATAATAAAAAAATGTGAAAATCTAAAAAAGAATGTATTAATAGCCTCGCATATCCAGTAACTTTTTCAAATTAAATAAAAATGCATGAGAAAAGAACATCATAAAGTGATATAGGGTTCTAGCATATACCAACAAGTAGAAACATTAATCTCATTAAAGATTATCATTATTAGTAATACATCATATCATAAGAAATCGAAGTGCAGTAGACGAATGCAATTTTAGCATTTAAAATAAATAAATAAATAACAACTAAACTGAAGGATCAAAGACTTCAGCAGAAAGAAAATTATTGGCGAAATTCTTTAGTTCACCCATGTTTGAGGTCAGTTCCCCAAACATTTATAAACTAGAAAAATATTCAACAAAATGATGTGATTTTAGAGTTTAGATATGCAAGGCTCATTTCCTCAGGAAGTTGCAAAGGCAAATTACATTTTAGGTGCATAAGGTAGTTAAAATAATCTAAGACCTTCAATCCAGTTCAACTAAGCTTAGTTAAAGAAATTCATTACATGTCTATTCACTAACTATTAACTACAAATAGTAGCGAATAATTCATATATAGGAGTAAAGTGTAAACATATAACGTACTCTGTAGGAGGCTGATTAATAAAGTTATGAAGCTGCTGAAATGCCGTGCCTGTAATAATGCTCCCAAGAAAGACATTGACAATTAAGAATAAATGATACTTCCCAGCTGATCTTGTCTCTAAAGATGAGAGAGATGTAAATCCTTCTACTTTGGACATAGCCATTAAAATCATTGGAAGAAAAATAAGGAATATCTTTAGGGCAATCCCTGGAAGAAAACCTTGAATGAAAGACTTGATGACACCACTGTAAAAAATAAATAAATAAAACAAGATTAGGAAATTTAATTATTTATCCGCAGCTACATAATAAAAAATTGAGAAATAAACACTTTCATTTCAAAGAGATAGGCAACCATTTTCAATATCTAATGTTAAGACTTCAAGACCAATTTTTTTTTTCAAAACAACATTTTCGATATCTAAGATCAATAATACAAAAGGATGGGGAGCCAGATAGTGATATAACTAGAAGAATTGGAGGGGGTTGGATCAAGTGGAGACAAGCTAGTGGAATTTTCAGTGATAAAAGAATAACACAAAGACTACAAGGAAAATTCTATAGGGCCGTTATTAGACCAACTATGTTGTATTGGGCGGAGTGTTGGGCCCTAAAAAAGAAACAAGAGCAATGCCTTCATGTAACGGAAATGAGAATGCTAAAATGGCTAAGCAAAGTGACTAGGAGAGATTGGGTCACTAATGAGAGTGCGGGAGAAAAATTAGGGGTGGCTCCCATTAGTAAGAAAATTAGAGAGAGTAGACTTAGATGGTTTGGACACCTACATTAGAGACCTAGAGACGCACCGGTCAAACGAAAAAAACTAGTCATAATAGAAGGTAAGAGACGGAGAGGGCAGACAAAAATAACATGGGATGAGGTTATTAAAAATGATTTTAAAAATTTAAATATAGTAGGTGAAATGGCTTGGAATAGGAAGGATTGGAGAAAAAAAATTCATGTGGCCGACCCTATTCACATGGGATAAAGGCAAGGATGATGATTTCAAAGAGATAAGTAAAAGAGAGTTCCATAATCTGGGCTAATTTCTATATATGGTTATCCTAGCAGGGGCAATACTATCAAATACCCATATAGACTAAAAAAGGAAACAAAAAAAACGTATCATTTTTATTCATTTACATGAGGATGCTTTTTATCCCATTGTAGTGTGCTACTTTTGATCCAATTGTCCCAACATTCATTCTATATATTAGTCACTGAAGTTGTATGCTCAAAGTAAGGCTGTCCCATTTAGTCACTGAAATTGTCATAACATCCATGTGTTCACTACGATGAATGTGCTTCTATGGTAACACAATAAATATTTAATTTTCACCTTTGTTTGTTCAATCACTCAAGATCTTTGATAACAACAAAAGGTGAAACTGGATCGACAAGAGTATATAAATAACAAGTGCATAATACAATATAAGAACAATTTTTTTTTTTTTTGGTGACCAATACTGAATCAAAAGCTCATTCATAAATTAAAAGGAAGAAAAAGGACTAAATACCAAAAGAAAAACATTAATTAATTCAAAGCAAGAGTCACTTACATTTTTATTAGTGGCTTTAAGAAAGGAAGAACCTTCTGAATGCCGTCAATGTTGGCTACAGATTGGACAAGTGCTATAGGGATCATAAAGAAGAATGTCAGAAAAAATAGAGCAACAGCCATGAGCAATCTTCGGACAGTGACTTCAACAAAGGGTATTGCAAGATTATCCCAAACAACATCACGTGGTTCGGGAGCCCATTCTGTCAACCAAATTGTCGGATTACTTGATTGTTGAGTTTGAGCACAGACGGCTGCTCCCCATCGCGTTTTGAATGAAACAAATGCCGCGGGAATTATGGCTTTAGGATCACTTGAAACCTTTTCTCTCTCTGCACTTTCCTAGATTAAATTATCAATAAAAGTCAGACACAGAAATTCTATTATGGGTTGAGGCTATATATTAAAGAAAATTTGTAAGATAGAACAAACTTTGGCTTGTTAGTATCATATCAAGCTGAGGCCAGAGCTAAAAGTAAATAAAAGCTAAAAGACATGATAATCATATGATGTTTACAGTGATAATGACACATAATGGTTCATAAATATGGTGGTAAAACATCACCCTACCACCAGTGCAATGACATCCCTGTTCAATAGGCCCACTTGTTAAAACTGCGGAGATAAAGAACCGAAGAAAAAAAATGGAAAAGAACCCTTTAAAGGGATTTGTATCCTATAGAACAAACAAAAGAATGACAAAACATTACAGTTATGTACACACTTCCTCTTATACAACTATACTGAGAAATAAACCATGACAGCTATTATAGTTTGTTTTTTTCAAGAGCCTACGGAACCCACTACGTTCTAGTAATCCAACCAAATGAAGAAATTCCTCTTGACGAGCCATAGAAAACATGAAACTTCATAGTCATTAAATGAACAAATTTGTATGGGAGCTGCTCCAGCTCAACAATTATGAAGCTCATTCAGGATCAATAACCAATTAATAAAGCCAACCCCCAGCTTGAATCTTAAGTTTAAATGCTTAACAAGCTAAGCTTTAGCTACGCTATGGATCCTAAACTAAACTAGTGAGTTTGGGGGCCGGGATCCAGTTCAGTGAAAATCCCACTCAGCACATTACTCAGACTCGAGTCTTATCTCCTCTTTTTCCAGCAGTCTATGGCCTTTCATTCTAGCCAAGCTAAACTTGCACCTCTTACAAATTTAACAAAGGTAAGCGTGAATAATCTAGTACTCAGCTCAGTTTTGGGTCTGTTGCACCCTAATAAAAACAAATGATTTTGTTATCATTTTTATGGGACTGTTGTGATCAACATGATTTTGCTGCCATAAGCAACACACTGCTTTGGTCTTACCCACATTATGTGAACAAGAATAACCCCTGAAGTAATTATGTCTGGAACAATATTTAGGGACAAAAGAGATCACCGACCAATCCAAACAGCTATCTTATTGTGGTAGAAAATTCTCACCCTCTATGGTCTCACCCAAATCATGTGGCCAAGAATAACCCTGAAGTTAATCAAGACAGGTAAAAGATAAACGGGCAAAAGAGATCGCTGACCTGCCCAAACAATTCTCTTATTATGGTAGAAAATCTTCACCCTCAAATGACACGCCTCTAACCTCTTGACTAAAACTTAGGCATCCTGAGTCTCTATGCAATGCCGTTCATCACCTATGCACATAGACTGATAGAGTGTGAAAGTTCCAACTAATTGAAGGCCACCAACATATGTAATGTTTCCGTAAAAATCACAAGAATAGGAGCTAACTGTGTACCCAATTAAACAAGATTTGTCATAGAAGTTCACATATGAAGGTACAAGCCCAAAAAAAAAATTCCTTAAGATGAATCAAGCCCCTAACATTCCTTTCCTTCCCCTTACCCTAGCTAGAGCATATCTGTCTTCTTTATCATTCTTAACACAAAAACAATATATATTGTCATAAGCTCTTAATTCAGTTTTTATGTTGCATCCTCATATCCAATACAGTTTTAGTTCATCTTTAGAATCATCTCCACTTTAATCCTTACAAGCCCCTAACACATCCATTATTCAGGAAAAAAAAAATTCCCAATGTTATAGGTACAATCAACCAACAATTAGAGACTCGGTCCAAAAATAAATTCATAATGGGCCTAGGTTGAGAAAAGAAAAAGGCAACCAATTTTCAAGTTGCTCCGGTACTGTAATTCATGATAATTGAACCAACTCACTGTGTACTCAGAGAGAAATCCACAGCTAAACATTTAGAACAAGCATGCTTGTGTATGCCCATAGGTCAGCTTGCATACTGCAAATTATTAGTTGATAAGTTGAAGTGCAAATGATAACTTCTAATTATGGTATCTTACTTCTTCACTCATCTTCCCAATTTCAGCTGTATAGTAGTCAATAGCATCCACAGTTGTTCCCCAAAGGCCCCAGAAACCTGTCTGTACATAACTAAATATGAGATGATGAACTTAGGAGATACTACAATATTGAAATATCAAATATTTAACAAGTGAGAAAGATTGTCTTTTGAGCAGATGTAAACCAAAATGAAAGGTTTATCATGTAGACAAGAATACCTTCGTGGTCGGCTTTTTTGAAGGGTTTCTCTCATATTTGGTTTTGTAATAGACCAGCCAATTTTGCAAACTCTTCTTCTTTGCCACCAATTTTGCAAGGTTGTTTGCATTGTAAACAACCTAGAAATTCAAAGTATAAAGATCTTTCAGCGCTAGGAACTTATATTCAGAACGACTTCAGAACTTTAAAACACTAGCTCCACTCTAAAAGGAACTTTCAGCCAATACTTATTTCCTCATAACTCAACGTTAATGGGAGGAGTATTGCTGCTTCTTTTTTCTCCCATGTTTTGTGTAAAATCTTTAAATTTTACAAGTCAATCATGAATGCAGTTAATAAAGACACAAACCTGATGTGTAAGATAAAGATCAGGATGATTTACACAGAAGAAATGTTCAACGTGCTCACTCACTGATTCATCAGAATCTGGAGGAACATTTCTTACCAGAACCTGCAAAAGGAATTGGAATTAATGATCGGAGCTAAAATATGTGTAAGCACATCATTTGGTAACATGTTAACAAACACAAGAAAGTCTTTGCTTTATCTTGAAAAAAGGATTGTGAAGCATGGTTTAGAAAGGTCAGCTGAAGAATTGCTAACATGACCAGTATGGCAAGCAAGAAATCTCCAAATTTGCAACCATTTCCCAATTAGTAGCTAGAATCAACTTTGTATATGACAATTATGAAAACTGATTGTTTAAACGAAGAAATTGAGAGCAACACATACCAATATCATATATATTCTTACTAACTCAATCCACATTGATCTTGGTCTTCCTTGTTCCTTTACTACCCTAGTTGTAGATCACATTACTCTTCCTCACTAGTACAGTTACCGGTCTTCATTACACATAGACAAACCATTATCTCACAGATTTTGTTTCGCATAATATCTTCTTCTTCTTTTTCCTTTTTCTTTTTTTTTGCCACACATTTAATTCACCAACATCCCAAATTATAAAAAATCTAAATCACCACCAAAATAGTAGGGTTGAAGAAAAACACCATAAACACAATAAAATGAACTGATTGTAACGTTTTATATATAGTGAGAATGTGACCAAGAGTCAATCATTGGTGGCATTATACTCCTATCCAAGATATACCTGCTTTCTGTTAAGCACTAAACTACTTTGCAGCTGCATAATTTCTGAAGAAAATAACCTCCAGTTGATAACACTTAGTTGTCATATAGATAGACTGCAAATCCCTTCCAATTACTTGCAATTAATTTTTATTTACCAAAAAAAAAAATATGTGCTGCATAAACAAATAGATTTTATCTAAAATATTCTTGATAAAGATAATTTTTTTATATAACTCACAGTGAATTGATCTGGACGACGACTTTCAGAAGCTAGAAAATGCAACCTCATAGCAGTTATGATCTTGTATTCCTTGTATAACATATACCATGTCCAAAATGAGAAAACATAGGCCATTACTAGATGTGCCCAAAACCTGAATGGAAATTTAAAGAAATTGACTTAGTCAAGGGTATTATGGCCCAGCATTATTGCCATGGCAAAAATGGTGAAATTGAAGAGTCATATAAATAGTGAACTAATAAAAAAACTTACGAGAATTAAGGATTTAACTCTTGTCAACAATAATTCAAAACCAACATTTTACAGTTTTTCTCGGGGTGCTAAAAGGGAGGATGGTGGCATTGGTGTTCAAAAATTTTTAGCAACTCTTTAATGATGTGTCCTCCCAGTTATACAAGCAATAAAGGTTAAAATTTTATATTCCAATATTTGTAAAGAGTGGTGTTTTAAAACATGCTGTATGCTAGATGATTTTAAAGGACCATAGTTAAAAGTTAAAACTGGCAATCATCAATTTGTAAATAAAGACATACTCCTTTAAAAAAAGCCCTACAAAATTATTAGAACCTTATATAAAAGATATTTGGAATGTCACAAATAAAAAACGTATGCACAATTTTTTTTTTTTTTTTTACCTTGGCAAGAAACTCACGCACCCACTTTGCCTCTACGAGGACTTGAACCCTGGCCCTTCCACTTTGGAGGGCGAGGAAGTACCACTAGCTACAGCCTATGCATAAAAAATTTAAAGAAACAAAAATACTTCCCACCTTTTTGATCCAGATGGAATATTGGATATTGAGAGTTTATCAATATCACTGAATGTTAGATCCTGAATATGCGATAGTGTTCCTCCAGTCCAATTTACAGGCACCAACACCGCAAAAGCAAGTGCAGCTATAGGGACAAATATCTTTAAGCTGCATAAGAATGTTAAAGATTAACAGTCCATATAATTAAAAAGAAGAAAACAAAGATAAAACGGTGCGTGCAATGTATTCATCTCTATATATTTTTATCTGTTTTTAAGTTATCAAGAAGAAAATTGCAAAAGCATTCTTTGGCAATTAAGAGATAATGAAAGATAACATATTTTAAGTACAGAATATGGTGCAAAAAAGTAATAAAAAATGTAAATCTGCATCTTAGAATCTCACCCTAAAATATAAATCCGAATATAAGCAACAGAATCAAGTCCTGCGTGATCTATAAGCTCAGGTTCAGGCATTCTTAATGCAGCAGGCATCCAATTCAAAAACCTTATGTAAGTTCTGAAGTCCAGGTTGACAAATTTCGACGCAAAAGCCCCTGAACGTGTTGGGCTAGCTCTTATACCCTTCAGATACCATTTTGGGAAGTACACTCTATCATTGACAGGTTGAAGTCGTAATATTGCAAAGGCCACAAGGAATGCGACTGCAGAAAGAATATTAATTGCAGCTGCAACACTAATATCTTGAATGGTAGCCATGCTCTTCCTTGAAGATTATTGATCCCCTAAATTTTGAATGGAAACAAATGAGACATATCTCAGTGCATAATCACCAGGAAGATTTCTGCCTACCAAAAAAATACACACACAGATAAAAGGGAAAAGGAAAAAAAGGATGTTTCCCAAGAGAACCAAATAAACCCTGTTTCAATTTTGCAGGTGAGTTGTGATATTCTAATAGTTTATCATCATGCATTGCTCATAATTTCTATTACATGCAGTCAGTTAAACGTATTATACATTGAAACAATTTATGTGTTCTCTTCAAGTAAGTTACAAGTAGGCCACAAAAAAATTCAAGTAAGATGCACACCATACAATAATACACATTCTGATTAAATCCACACTTTGAATATATGGGCAATTCATAAGAGAATATCACAACTGACATAAATTCAAACCAAACACACCAGGTACGGCAGATGACGAAAAAGAAAAAGGTGTTTCTGTCCTTGAGGCTTAAGTTATCGGTCAACACACTACTAATTCTAATGAGAGTGTCACAGACTAGCAGACTTTGTATCATCACCTAATAAAGACTTTCATAATGGCTATACAACTTTTCGGGTCCAAATCAATGCACAAGAATTAAAAAAGAAAAAAGAAAAATCATAAGACAGAAATTTCATAACCGATCGACATTTTCATATAACTCCTCTTAAGCTCTTGGAACCAAACTCATGTAGCAATTAACATACTAAAAAATCATCAAACCCAAGTCTCTAATTCTAAAAAAAAATCTCTTTCTTCTCCAGGGTTAATTTACTACTCACAGAAATAGTCTTCAAGTACAAAACAACAAGGGTATTCCTGGATGCGTCCGACCAAGAGAAATAGATTCGAGCAAAAAAGATATATCTTACACCCATTATTTGAAAAATGGCAATCTTATTTAGCATTTATATACATATATTATAAGAAACATATCGACGATATTTATAACTCTTATATCAAAAGGCAAGCATTAGATGAAGGAACAGCTAATTGATAAGAAACACTCGTTTCTCTCCAATTCAAAAACCCACTACGATTAAACCAAGCCAAATAGAACTATTAAAGAGATATGAGTTCAGGTTATCGGCTTCTCGGAGTCCCAACCAAAAGAAAATTTCAAAAGATTCAAAACTTTGTTTTCTTTTTCTCTTACCTTTTTCTCAACAACCAACAAGAAAACAGAGCCGAACCTCGCAATGTCACCTTTTTGATTGAATAGAAACCAAAAACTTGAGAAGCAGCTCACTCTCGTGGCCTTCAGGAAAGGAAGGTGAAATTAGGGTTCTTTTACTTTGTGATCAGAGTCAGGCATGAACCGTCTTCGAATCGGCGAGGTTCGGCAACAAAAAGAGCCGAACCTCCAATGTCACTTTTTGGATTGAAAACAATTCGAAAGTTTTGGAGCTTTTCAATCGGAAGTTACAAAGAGGAATGTGAAATTAGGGTTTATTTTTGGTTTGTGATCCAAGTTTAAGCCGGGGAAGAGAAGGCGGCAACAAGGGCGGACCGTCTGTGCGCAACTCTGCGCGTCTCGTAGTTTGTAACGTTGTAATGTACTGTATAATTAAAAAATGGAATATTTTTGAATGTTGCAATGTCCGAATTACCCCTTAAATTTTATATTCTTACTTTACGCTTCCCATATGTATGGCATAATTGCACTAGCCTCCCATAAATTGCATTGATATACCTTTTTACTTTGGGTAAATCCCTAGTTGATGATGTTAATACTTTGCAGTAAAATGACATAATTTTCTCAAATTAAAAAATACCAGATTTTGATGAAAATTTAGTAAAATTGGGATCATCATCCAATAAAAATATCTAACTCTAAAGATAAATTTAACTTTAAGAAATGTTAGTATAATTTATTTTTATTTTATTATTAGACTTAAGTGACTCGTTGTGTTGTCTATTTCTTTACCAAATAAATTAATATTGTACAAAGATGACATCATCATAGTGTTAATGAATTTTGTTGTTTATTAGTTTTAATCTTGTATAAGTAATGAATACAAAAAATGTGCAATAAAAATCTACATAAGTACCAAAAGGTTTTATATCACAACTTTAAATGAATTTAGTATAATGACAAAGACTCTTACATTTTGAAGATCGGGAGTTTAAATTCTCCCGATACATGTGAGACAGGAGATTGCATATGCTCAATAATAAATTATGAGATACTTTAAGACATTTTATACTGTTATCGTCACATATCATTTACTATAGGTTGATCATTCTTTTACATGCTCACATGAAACCTTGAAAGAACTTGTCAATTATCAAATTTCTCCATTGAAATCGGTCGGTTCTCCATCAGAGAGTGGACAGTTTAGATTTCAAAGGGTAATTAAGAATTAACAAAAATATAGTAGTATAACTTAAGCAGGTGCTCTTTTCTGTATTTGGAAATTTTGACAAGAATTGGAATAATATATTACTCTATAATACATGCCACAAGGTTTATCTTTTTATTAGAATATAATAGCTGTAGCGTTACGCTTGTAATTGTCTCCAAATTCCAAATGCCTTCCATTTGTCGTACATATATTCACGTGTATGAAAAGTGTCCGTCGATCACATGCATCACAATCCGTCCCCGTTGTTGGACAATCAAGTAACCCCACCATTTCACGATAACTTTTTTGTCAACGAAAAGTTCAACATTTTTATAAACTTTAAATTGAAATTACATTTTTAATTATTCAGTCTAATTTACTCTTTTGCATTCTTAAACACCAAAAATATATATATAATATATATATATATATAAATGGTTGGATTATAGTTAATAAACAATTAAATTTCAAATATAATCCAAGTCTAATATACATTAGGTAACAATAAAATTGAAAACATCACCTTTTTCTTTCCTTTTTTATAAATAATTTCTCGCTATTTCTTCCTCCTACAATATTTTTGTTTATTTATTTTTATCGTGACTAAGAAATATAAACACGAACATACCGGCTTGTAGAATTAAGCATTCTACTAACTAGGTCATGCTCACCTACAATGTTAACTCAATGAATTTTTATTTATGATTCAGACTTTATAGGTCCATTTGATTAACTTGAAGCAACAAGAAAAGACAAAAATGAGAAAAAATTTAAACTTTTTAATAATTTGATTAGATGGAAATTTAAAATACGGAATTAAGAAAAATTATCAACTAAAAATTTACTTCCCCAAAATTTCAACTTTCTATCTAATCAAACTATCAAAAAAAAAAAAAGGTTAATATTTTAATTTTTCCCAACTCCGAAGATATATGATTGTTCAATTTCTTCACACTGTTATTATAATGTTTTCACGTGACACCTGTAATGGATGTGGAACTCACTTTTGTTAAATTATTCTTGATGCTTTTGTACAAGTTAATTAGAAACCATAAATCACTTTATGCAGTGATTAGTATGCTGGAATGGAAATTTTATTTTAACTATTCTTTTATTTAATATGTAATTTAAATTAGGAATGATTATTCTATTTGAATGAAAGTTCATTTTCTGGAAGAGAAAATATATTTCTAAACTAAATTTATAGAATGATCATTCCATTCTCAAATAATTTTTTTTTATTATTATTTTTTTTAAATTAACTTTCCAAAGAACCTTCATGAATTTCAAATCAAAAAATCACCACTACCTTCCACCACAACCGCCGCCTTCCACTACCTTTCACCACCGCCGCCGCAGTCACCTTCATTAGCTTCCACCACTACTGCCTACACCACTATCTCTTTCCATCACCACCACATTACTGCCATTGCCTTTCACCAACACCATTGTCACCTTCCACCATTGCCACAACTGTTGCCACCCATTATTGCCGCCGCCGCCTTCTAACACCACCACCTACACCACTATCGCTATCCACCTCCTCCACCACCACCACTGCCACCAGTTATTTTTAAAAAAATATTAGAGAAAGTCATTTTGTTAATTTTATTTATTTGTTACTAGAAGAAATATTTTAGAGTGTTCAATTTGAAATTTATTTCATTATAAATTTTAAATCAGTCAAACTAAACACTAGAATAATTATTATCATTTTATTCATATGCATTTTATATTTATAACCAAATAATAAAATGAGAATAGTCATTCCATTTCATTCTCACTTGCTTTTCATTCCATTTCTGCATGCCAAAGGCAACATTAAATAATAAGAATTTCCAATCAGATTATACATATCTTACCAAGAAGTTCAATACAAATCTCAACTTACAAAAGAATACAGAAATTAAGTCTTTACAAGAGTTCTATGCATATATTATTTATTTATTTTTTCCCTTCTCCTTGTTACAAAAAGAATCTTCAAAAAGACCCACAAGTAAATTCAAATCCTCCAATTTATCCTCCAAATTTCCTTCATTACTCTTCAAATACTGAATGGGTTTCTCCAAAAAACTGCTAACAATCCCTCCGCTAATTTCCTCTACCAATATGCTCTCCTCACTTGTCATCTGACCCTTTATTTTACTCTTCAACTTTTCTATCTCCAACTGTGTCATACTCTCTCCTACTCTCTCCAATCTTTGCATTATAATCCCAACTCGTTTCTTCAACCCTTCATCTTTAGTTGCCAATTTTGGTACCGAAAACGCGATCGGTCCGGGACAGAAATGATCATCGTCGAGCATGGTGTGATGGTATGGACTGCGGTTTAGTTGGAGAGCTTCTTTAGCTCTATGAGACGTGTTTGTCCCGGGGTTGGTTGTAATGGTTGCTGCTGCTACTGTATGGATCAGTTTTCTTTCTGTAGTGACCAATCCAACCTTAGGAACTGGACTATGAGAGTGCAGCTTGATGGGAGATGGCATTGGCAAAATGGTCATTGTTGCTTCACCTTCTCTCTGCTTATCTTCGAGTTTTTGAATGAGGTTTTGATGAGAAGATTTAAGAGGTACGATCACAATAAGTTCTCAAAAACAAATTTCAGATCTAAGGAGACTTTTATAGTGTTGCTTGGATATGTTGACCCGAGTCTGCCACGCGTATTTTATTTTGACCTGGAGTTGGAATATTACTATGCATAACTTGGATTTGGTCCACCGTCAATCTCCACGTGCTACATCTTTTTATTATTTTTCAACGCTACAAATTTTATTATCATTTTTTAATCCTGGCAAAATTAGAGGGAGGGAGTCGCATCGCGCCGAGAGTTAAAATTTTATCAGTTAGACCACTATATAACGCTCAGCGGTACAAAAACTTGATGCATTTCTTTCTGTCTTTTTTATCCTCTTAGACTTTAATCAGTGTTTAGCTTCTTTTTTTTTTCTCTGTCTCTCTCTTTCCGGACGAGGGTAGTGTAGGACCTCTTAGGCTCTAATTGGAATTGTCCCTTGTAGAGCCAATCATTCATCTTAAACAATAATTTAAATATATCATTAATTAGTATAGCATAAGCATTCTTTTTTATAGTTTTTATCGATGACAATATTTGTATTTTTAAATTATATTTATGTTATTTTTAAAGATTTCAAATGATATCTCCTATCATTTAAAAAAAAAAAAAAATGGATGATTCAATTTTTTCAGAAAAAATTTGTGTGAGTTTTTTGTCAGGAACACAAAATTAAAAAATTTGTGTGAGTTTTTTGTCAGGAACACAAAATTAAATAAATATCTCACTGATTTTTTTTGAAAATCTTCAAATTTTATAATTAGTAAAAGTAAACTATTGTAATTTACCCAACCAAAAAAATGCTTTTTTGCATATATTTTGTGAAGCAGTTGTTTATATATATATATATTCAATTTGTATGAGAACTGATTTATTTTTTCTTTTTCCTTTTCAAAATGTGGTAGTAGGGTGGGTGACCAAACATGTTCTATCATGAGTTGGAAAGGAGCAGATATGAGAGAACAAGCGAACCACACAGCATGTATGTTGCAGGGGGTTGCCCTACCCCAATCACAACTCATCTTTTTCTTTGGATGTTACGACCATACATAGAATTCTTTTGTTATAAAAACTTTGACAATATTGACCTCCTTTTATTTCATTGCGCTTAAGGACACTGAAGTATGAAAAATAAAAGTTTATTCGAATTTATTTGCTATATGATTTAGGATAGTTACAGTAATTTATATACATATATTAAAAAAAAAAAAAAGCTTTCTTGATAATTACATTACCCTCTTTTAAAATACTCTTATCCTTTCTTAATTATATTTGATAATTAATTTGTTAGATCTTAAAAACAATAAGTGGAATTGACATAGGCAAGGATGTCAACGGAGTGGGTTTGGGATGGGACACTCCTTTCCCAAATCTATTACCCATCCTACCAACAAAAATCTCCTCCCAAACCTGGTTCGAAGCACCCTGCATTGAAGTTGGATCGGGTTTGGAACACGCTAATATACAAATATTTTAAAAAAAACAATCCAAACTTGAATAAATTATATGTATACATACACACACACACACACACATATATATATATATTTGTGTAGTATAGTAAAATATTTAACGATTATAATAACAAAAAATATCTAGTTA